TGTGTGACTGAGTCAGTATGATGGTGCGGCGTGCGCTGTCCCGGGTGATCTGCAAGCCAAGGTAGCTGCGCAGCTCACCCAGGTCTATGCACGTGTGTCTCTTCTGCAACTCCGACTTCACCAAGGTGAGAGCCTCAGTGTCCGCAGTGGCAAAGACCAAGTCGTTGACGTACACGAGGATGTAGAGCGGCGGCAGCGAAGTGTCGGTGCGCAGAAACAGCGACGGGTCAGCAGTAGAAGACGCGAACCCAAGAGCCGCAAGTGTCGTCCTCAGTGTGTCGTGCCACTCACGCGGCGCCTGGCGGAGACCGTAGACCGGCCGCCGGAGGCTCCACTGGGTCCCAGGAGGAAACGACCCAGTGAAGCCAGGTGGGCGGCGCAGCCAGATCTCCTCGTGCAGGCTGCCCTACAGGAAAGCTGTGCTGAAGTCAAGAGAGTGAAACTCGTAGTCACGCTGAGCAGCAACGTGCAGCAGCACCCGAAGAGTGGTCATCTTCGGGGTGGGGGAGAAGGTTTGAAAGAAGTCTACTCCATCTCGCTGTCTGGAACCTTGAGCAACGTAACGAGCCTTGAAGACAGGCGGAGAACCTGGCGGCCGCTTCACCTTGAAAATCCACATGCCACTGACGATATTCGCCCCAGGAGGGGGAACCTCATCAACGTAAGTGCCTGTGGACTTCCAGGATGCAATCTCTGCGTCCATCGCTGTCTGCCACTGAGAGGAGTACTCAACCGCGATCGCCTCAGCGTAAGAGCGCGGGGTCGGAATGTCTGGAGCATCCGGGTCTCCCTCAGGGGCAAGCAGCATGGACACGTGATGAGGCGCAGCGCCTGTAAGACACTCGAGGTCCTCCTGCCTGACCTCAAGGACGTCCGTGCCAAGAGCACACTCACCCCCGACGGACGGAGGAGAGACATACTCAGACTCAGCAACAAGACAGCGGGCAGACGCGAACGAGGAACACGACGACCGGAACGACCAGGACGGACAGGCGAGAGATGACGTGACGCTGGCTCACGACGCTCAGTAAGACCCCCTGTCTGCTCAGTGTAAGGAGAAGGAGCAGGCAGTGGTGAGCCAGGCTGTAACGGAAGACCAGTAGACGAAGGGAGACTAAGAACCTGGCGAAGCACAGAGTCAGGCGGTGGCTGAGACAACGGAGACGGTGGAGCGAAGAACAGGCGTGGCTGTGCAGTGCCACTAGCACCAGCAGCTCCAGCACCCCCAGTAGCTCCAGCACCCCCAGTAGCTCCAGCACCTCCAGCAACTCCAGAACCCTCAGCGCAAGCTCCTCAAGGACTATCTCCACCAGCAGCAGCACCCCCAGAACCAGCACCTCCAGTCCCAGGGTGTCCAGCCTCAGTGTCTCCAGCAGCAGCACCCCCAGACTCAGCAGCACCTCCAGCCCCAGCAGCTCCAGTACCTCCAGTACGGGCACCTCCGGGACCAGCACCACTCCCAGCTCCAGTGACGACAGCAGAAATACCTACAGCGGCAGAGCCACGAGCTCTTGAAGCGCGACCCTGACAGCGACTGTACCAGTCGTGCAGCTGATGTGAGGTGAGAGGCACACGCGGACGAAGGCGGCTACTCCAGGGAGACCGCGCAACAGCAGACTCGATACCTGGGTCAGGCGGTACGCACAGGTAACAGGCTCTGTCAGCACTAGTAGGTAATGCATACAATGCAGTGAGAATAGCATCATAGTCAAGAGCAAAGATATCTACCCTCTGCCTAAGCATCTCCACCCAGTCGGGGAGCTCAGCGTCGTCGCCAAACTCTGCACGCCAAGCGTCGCTCAGACGGGCGAACGAACGGTACTCAGAGACCCTCGACTCTGAGCGTACTACTCATGAAGCTGTTGGAGCGTGAGAGACTCGCGCGGACGTCGCTGGAGCTGCATCTGGCCACCGCCAGTAGCAGTAGTAGCAGGAGTAGCAGCAGTAGCAGCAGTAACAGCAGTAGCAGCAGCAACAGCAGTAGCAGAAGTAGCAGTAGTAGTAGCGCGGCCACCCCTACAACCCCAACCAGCGTACCACTCACAAAGCTGCTGAGGCGTGAGGGACTCACGTGGACGTCGCTGGAGCTGCATCTGGCCACCGCAGTAGCAGCAGTAGCAGTTGTAGCAGCAGCAGCGCGGGCACGGCAGGCTAGGCAGGCAGGCAGGCAGGCAGGCGGGCAGGCAGGCAGGTAGGCGGCCAGGCAAGCAGGCAGGCTGAGTGCGCGACAATGCGCGAACAAGGCAGGTGCTCACCAATGGTGGGAAGGGCCGGCGCTCGCCGGGCGAGCAGGGCCGGCGCTCGGCGGGCGGCTGCACGGGGTCCAGGGGCGGTGTCACGGGGTCCAGGGGCGGCTGCACCAGGGGCGGCTGCTGTAGGAGCCAGGAGCGGCTGCTCTGGGTCCAGGGGCGGCTGCACCAGGGGCGGCTGCTGCAGGGACCAGGGGCGGCTGCTCTGGGTCGAGGGGCAGCTGCTCGAGGGTCCAGGGGCAGCTGCACCAGGAGCGGCTGCTGTAGGAGCCAGGGGCGGCTGCTCTGGGTCCAGGGGCGGCCGCTCGGGGGTCCAGGGGCGGCTGCACTAGGGGCGGCTGCTGCAGGGGCCAGGGGCGGCTGCTCTGGGTCCAGGGGCGGCTGCTCCAGGGGCGGCTGCTGCAGGGACCAGGGGCGGCTGCTCTGGGTCCAGGGGCGGCTGCTCGAGGGTCCCGGGGCGGCTGCACCAGGGGCGGCTGCTTCAAGGGCCAGGGGCGGCTGCTCTGGGTCTAGGGGCGGCTGCTCGAGGGTCCAGGGGCGGCTGCACCAGGGGCGGCTGCTTCAGGGGCCAGGGGCGGCTGCTCTGGGTCCAGGGGCGGCTGCTCGAGGTTCCAGGGGCGGCTGCACCAGGGGCGGCTGTTTCAGGGGCCAGGGGCGGCGTAGCTGGTGCAGGGCAGCGCGTGGGTCCCACAGGTGCCGTGACGGGCGACGGGGGGGCAGCGCGCCGCCACCGGAGAAGGTGACGTGTGGGGCCGGCGGCAGGCTGCGCAGGCGGCTGACGTAGCGCGCGGGGCCGAGAACGGGCTATGCGGGCCTAAGACGCGGCGCGCAGGGCCTAAGCGGGCTGCGCGCGGGCGGCTTACGCGACGCGCGGGCCGGCGGCAGGCTGCGCGGGCGGCTGACATGGCGCGCGGGGCCGAAAACGGGCCTAAAACGAAGAGCGCGCGGGCTGCTCAAGCGGCGCGCGCGGGAAAAAAAAGGGCCGCGCGCGTGCAGCCGAGGCGCGCGCGGGCAGCAGGCAAGGCAGGTGAGGTAATGTGGTAACGGTGGGCCCTTATCTTAGGTCCTAGAGACCTCTAGGCTCTAGATACCATCTTAGAATTTTAGGCATGAAGTTGTGTGATTGATTAGGTCAAGGGGGGGTACAAGAAGAATGTCGAGAGAGATATTGTACCCCCTAGTGCTAACCCCCATATAGCCTAGACAACCTAAACATAACATATAAATATAACTTGACAAGAGTTCACCCTTGCAAAGATCCTAGGGGCTATTTCTTCAGCCCAACATCGACAACCACCTCAGTATTTATTTGTACCCTTACATCGTACCTCACTTATGCAAGTTGTCATGAATGCATATTGTGATTGCACTCATGTATATCACCATTCAACTCCACTCTTGCTGCTTTTCAGATAACTGCTAGGGAGTGACTAGGACTACGTCATGAAATTGCATGTCAATTGTTGAAGATTGGTGGAATGCTGACACAAGGTTCTAAAATCCCAAAGATTTTGACGGAAGTTTTACTGTAACGCGTTCCTCTCTCCACCATCACGCCTCCCCCGATCCGACCACCAACCACATTGGTCAGCCCAAGTCTTTGACTTCTTCGGGGTTTCGCAAAGTTGTTCTTGGTTTCGTGTAGAGCGTTTTTCTTGGTGAAGCAAAGTTTGCGTGAGTCACCCCAGCACCACACCATCTAATCGAGCAATCCACACTGCATCTTCCCTGCAGTATTTCCCAAAACTCCCGCGAGAGACCGAGACAAGAACGAGAAGGCGTGTAGATATCCGCGTTATTCGCCCTTTGATAGCAGTTGGAGACAACTTCTCTGGAAACGGCTTAAATTTATTTTTTGCTCTCGATCTCCCGCGCTGCGACGCGCACGCGCAAACGGCGGCTGACGACTCGTGGGGCAATAGCAACAGAACTGTCCACCGCGCCGTTCACGCGGGCAAGGCCGCGTGCGTGCAGGGCGGCGACGGCAGCGCGTGCGGCAAACGAGCACACCGTGACGGCTCGATAACGCGCGCGGTACTATCCATGGGGTATCGCGGTTGCGCCGCGGCGATGGGGACGCGCCGCGGCGTCATGGTGGCGGCGAGGGCGGCGGTGATGGCGCTGGTGGTGGCGCGCTGCTGCATGCCCTTCGCACGCGCTGCTCCCGTGGTGGACGCCGAGAGTAAGCCGTTGAGCCGAGAGTAAGCCGTTAAGCCGAGAGTAAGCCGTTAAGCCGAGAGTAAGCCGTTGAGCCGAGAGTAAGCCGTTGAGCCGAGAGTAAGCCGTTGAGCCGAGAGTAAGCCGTTAAGCCGAGAGCAAGCCGTTCATTCTCGACCTCCTCCACATCACAGGCTGAGAGTAAGCCGTGACGGACCCGCTGTCGTCCCTCCACCTCCACCTCCTCCTCCTCCTCCTTTTGACAGTCAGCCATGCCGTGCACCATACCACCCAGACACCGTATCCCGATTCAACAAGCAACATGACTTCAGCTGCCCCTCCTGCCATTCCCACCTCCATCCCCCTACCCTCTCCCTGTTCCTCTCGCCTCCGCCCGTTCCCTGGGAATGTTTCCAACATGGCATGCCATGCGGCCTTGGGTGGAATGGAATAGGATTATTGAATGGGTGGATGACATGGGTGCATGGCATGGGTGCATGGCATGGGTGCATGGCATGGGTGCATCTCTATGGATGGTGTCCCGGATGGATGGCAGTGGACGCTTTGGCGAGTCTAGCACACGAATGGAACGATATGCGGGGTGTGGGGACATGGAGCAGGGGCGAGGATTGCAACAGCATGGATGCCGTGCGCTGCGATGGCGATGGGCATGTCGTTGCACTGTAAGCATGTCATTGCACTGTAATCATGTCATTGCACTGTAAGGATGTCATTGCACTGTAAGCATGTCATTGCACTGTAAGCATGTCATTGCACTGTAAGCATATCATTGCACTCTAACCAAGTCATTGCACTGTAAGCATGTCATTGCACTCTAAGCATGTCATTGCACTCTAAACATGTCATTGCACTGTAAGCATGTCATTGCACTGTAAGCATGTCATTGCACTGTAAGCATGTCATTGCACTGTAAGCATGTCATTGCACTGTAAGCATGTCATTGCACTGTAAGCATGTCATTGCGCTGTAAGCATGTCATTGCGCTGTAAGCATGTCATTGCACTGTAAGCATGTCATTGCACTGTAAGCATGTGATTGTCCTGTACACCTGGCATTCTCCTCCTGCACCACCCTGATTCCATTTCCTTTGCGCCCTCTGAAACCTGCATTTGAGTTGACCTCAATTCTCCCTCCCTCCGTGCCATCCGTCTCCTCCTTCCACAGCACCTTCAAAGCGTGGGCCCTCAACGGCTCCCTGCCCACTGCTCTGCTCGCATTGTCCCATCTCAAGGATCTGTGAGACTCCTGCTATTATCGTTGCTACTGCTATTCTCGTTGCGCACTGGGCCTCACGCGCTCATGCGTTCTATTCCCACTTTCCCCTGCTAACTTTCCCTTGCTTGCTTGTAGTGAAACTCCTTTGCGTGCAGTGAATTGCCCCTTGCTTGCAAAGATTGGTCCTTGCTTGTACTGACTGAAGCTCGCTTGGGCAGTCTTCATTGACGTGCAGGTGACTGACCTGCATTCGGTTGGTTCAACACGGCTTGTCATGTCTTGCCCTGTCTTGCCTGCCTTCTCTTCTATTCTCTCATCTTGCCTTGCCCACATCGGCCCTCTCTTGTGCCTCTCCCCCTTTACTGTGTTTCTGGCCCACCCCATTGTCCTTCCTTTTTCCCTTACCCCTGTTATCTCCAACCACCCACCCATGTTTCTACTGCCCCTTCTCCGTCTTTGCATGTGCCGGCTACCTGTAGGGAATTGGAGTGCTGCGGCCTTCGCGTGCTCCCCGAACCCATGTCAGTTCCACTCTCTCATGCACCTCCCTCCCTCTTCTCTCTGTCACGGGCCGACACACTACCACCTGCATGTGCATGCCCAAGTGCACGCCCAACTGCACGCCCAACTGCACGCCCAACTGCACGCCCAACTGCACGCCCAACTGCACGCCCAACTGCACGCCCAACTGCACGCCCAAGTGCACGCCCAAGTGCACGCCCAACTGCACGCCCAACTGCACGCCCAACTGCACGCCCAACTGCATGCCCAACTGCACGCCCAACTGCACGCCCAACTGCATGCCCAACTGCTCCGCCTGTTTGCCATCACCCGCCCTCTTTTGTTTTCCCAATCTACCTGCTCCTCCCTTCTCCGGCTTATCAAATCCACTCCACTTCTTCCGTTTTTCCCCTCTTCCCCTCTTTCTCCCCTCCCTGCCCTCTCCCCTCGTTTCCTTCTCCTATTCGTGCCTGCCATGGCCCCCACCCCACCATGCAACAGCGCAGCCCATCGCATTGATCTCAAAGGGCTCAGCAATCTTCAGCAGCTCACTCGCCTGTGAGTGCGCTTGGGGGGAGGGGTGCAGCACGTAGAGGGGGGGAGTGAGTGGGTGAGTGAGAGGGTGAGAGGTAAGTGGGTGGGTGAGATGGTGAGAGGTAAGTGAATCAGTGGTGTGAGAGAATGAGTGCAAGTGGTGGAGCAAGAGGAGGCATACAGCGTTGTTCCTCCGCAATGTCCATGTTGCCTCTCACCCCATCTGGCCCCTCACACCCCATCTGCCCCCTCACACCCCATTGCCATTATCTCCGTGCTCCCACCTGCACCGCCTGCTACTCCCCACTCCATTCCGCCGTGGTGTGGTGCATGGATGTTGCCTACATGGTGCATGCATGGTGCATGCATGGTGCATGCATGGTGCATGCATGGTGCATGCATGGTGCAAGCAGGAGTTTGTCGAACAACTATCTACTGACCTCACAACTAGACGGTCTCTCCCAGCTGCAAAAGCTGCAGTCTTTGTAAGGCAGGGTGAGGGGCGTGTGATGGCATGTGATGGCATGTGAATGAGTGAGGCGAGAGAATGAGTGCAAGTGGTGGAGCAAGTTGAGGCTTACAGCGTTGTTCCTCCATCGGAATTTGTGTCGACCCCATGTCTGCCCTTCTGCCCCCTCACACCCCATCTCGCCCCTCACACCCCATCTCGCCCCTCACACCCCATCTCGCCCCTCACACCCCATCTCCCGCCACTCGGTTCTCTCCTGCAGCATCTCGTCAACAGCCCCCTTCCCCCCTGCAGCACCCTCGGATGTTTCTTAACCGTCCATGTCCGTGGTGCATGGATGTTCATACGTGGTGCATGCATGGTGCATGCATGGTGCATGGCTGGTGCATGGCTGGTGCATGCAGGAGTTTGGAGGGGAACTACCGACTGGAGTCGCTACCAGTCGGGCTCTCCCAGCTGCAGAAGCTGCAGTCTCTGTAAGGCCGGGTGAGGGGCATGTGATGGCATGTGATGACATGTGATGGCATGTGATGACACCCTAGGGGATGTGTGAAGCCTGAGGGGCATGTGAAGCATCATTCATGACACTGCAGTATATAAGGGAAATTTTCATGCTTGCCATGCCCGCTCCTCTCTTTTGTTCTCCTCACTCTTCGTTTTCACCTTGCACATCCCCTATTCGTGGGTTCCACATACCCATTATTCCTATAACTTCCCTGCTCCTTGCCTCTTGATTGCTCCTCTCATGGCTGCTGCCCTCTCCCCTTGATTGCTTCCATCGTCAGGCACTTGACGAATCATCACCTGTCTGGGGAGCTGCCTACGTGGATCTTGAGCCTCACAGACTTGACTTCACTGTGCGTGCTGCCATGCACCATCTGCCATGCACCATCTGCCATGCACCATCTGCCATGCACCATCTGCCATGCACCACGCCCCATCGAACATCCTTTTCCATAACAAGCGTGCCCTTGTCCCCCCTTACTTATCTCACCTACCTTCTTTGCACTTCTAAGATGCTAGTCCATCATGCCATTCTAGTTCGCATGAGAATGCTCCCATTCCAGAATCTGCATCCAACAGTACACAACTCTGCATTGCTCCCAATCCCAACAGCTTATTTGACTCCCTTTTCATCTTCCCGCTTCTATTCTCTCCTCTTACCCACACCTTCCCTTCCGGCCTTCGCTTTCCAATAATTACCCTCCCTTCTGCCCGTCCCTCGTCGCACATCCCTCTTCGCACATCCCTCGTCGCACATCCCTCTTCCCTGTTTCCTTTTGAGACGTCTCAAAAGTCTTTCCAATAATTCCCCTCCCTTCTGCACGTCCCTCCGTCTTCCCTGTTTGCGCCCAACCGTCACAATGCATCAGAGTTATCCAGGAAAACAATTTTTCAGGCTCCATTCCAGAGGCAATCAGCAGCCTCAAGCAGCTAAGGGAGTTGTGAGTGCTGAATTGCAAGAAACATGCAGAGCGGATACATGCAGAGCGGATACATGCAGAGTGGATACATGCAGAGCGGATACATGCAGAGCGGATACATGCAGAGCGGATACATGCAGAGCGGATACATGCCCTGCTGCCGACACATGCAGCGCAGACACATGCAGCGCAGACACATGCAGCGCAGACACATGCAGCGCAGACACATGCAGCGCAGACACATGCACTGCAGGTATATGCTCTGCTGGTCCTGCAGTGCACAGGGGATGCATGTGAGGCAATGCGTTATCAACCTTCCCACACCCAACCTCCTCCGCTCCTCCCCACTATTCTCTCTGCGCCACACTTCACCGCACTGTGCCGCACTTGATCGCAGAGTCCTTGAGGAGGACGATCTGTCAGGGTCCATCCCCGAGGCAATAGGAGCACTCACCAACCTGGAAAATCTGTACGGAAGTGGGATGTGCATCGTTTTGTGTGATATGACAATGGGATACTGATAGTGCATTTTGAGTCCTGGGGTTCTTTTCGAATGCCTCTTGTGCCTCTGCAATTGAACTTAGCTAGAATTCTCGTGTGTGTGTGTGTGTGTGTGTGTGTGTGTGTGTGTGTGTGTGTGTGTGTGTGTGTGTGTGTGTGTGTGTGTGTGACTGCGAGTCTTTTTCCCCCTTTGGAGCTTCTCCAGTGACCTTGCTCGTTTGACTGAAGCTTCTCCGGTAGATTAATCGTGAGAATTCTCGGAAATAAATCCGCAGAGCTTCTCCAGTGCCGTAGCTTGTTGTACAGAGCTTCTCCAGTACCCAGTACAACACATCCACGACGCTATACATGCTATACCTTGGTCAAGGGCTGCCCTGCCACACATGCCATTCCTGATCTTGAATCCCATGCCATCCCATCCCATCCCATGCAACCACATGGCAGGTGGCTGAACTGCTTCAGCATGAGTGGCACCATTCCCGCCTTCATTGCCCGCCTCACCGCACTCACCTCCCTGTGTGGCCATTCTCCCTTCACCCCTTTCTCTCCCATTCTCCCTCCACCCCCCTCTCTCCCATCCTCTGCACTATGTGTCAATGCCTTGTGTTATCAGCAAGTATTTTCCAAAACACTGCATGCTTTTCACTCAGTAGTAAAGTGATCACTCAGTGTAACACCACCACGTTGCACAAGGCAGCTCGGATCATTATTTACAAAAGAGCAGAAATCTGCACTGCTCCCTCACATCCCTTCGCATCGCCTCCCTTCCGGCCTCCTCCCAACCTCCCCATGCTCCAGGGTACTATATCAGAGCGGTCTCTCAGGCTCCATTCCAGAGGCAGTCCAAACCCTCAAGCAGTTACAGCAGTTGTGAGTGGTGATGGGGACTTGTAGCTTGTGCAGCCTATCCCATCCCATCCCATCCCATCCCACCCAATCCCGTCTCTCGTGCTGACCTCTCTCCCGTTCTCTTCCGCCTTACACCTCCTTTACCTCCACTATTAGCAAGAAGCAACAATAACAGCATCTAAACTTTTCGTCAGCTACAAGATTATAATGATTCGGCCACCATGCTGTGTGAGATTCGAATGAGGAAAACGCATCACTGCTTTCCCCCTTCCATTTCCATAAGCATGATTGTTCTTCCTGCCTTCTACCTCAAATATATCCCCTTCCCCTCTCCGCCTTCCCCTCTCCGCCTTCCCCTCTCCGCCTTCCCCTCTCCGCCTTCCCCTCTCCGCCTTCCCCTCTCCACCTTCCCCTCTCCGTTGCACCCTCATCATGCTCCAGAGGCCTCAGCCAAAACAATCTCTCAGGCTCCATTCCAGAGGCAATCAGCAGCCTCAAGCAGCTACAGCGGTTGTGAGTGGTGATGGGGTAGACATGCAAGGTTCTGTGGGATGATCCGGCGTGATTGGTCCCCTTAGTGAGAAAGTGAGTGGGAGAGTGAGAGGCCGAGAGAGGGTGGACAAGTCAGAAACGTGTGGGTGAAAGTGTGAGTGAGTGAGTGGGTGAGGGGATGAGAGAGTGAGTGGGGACATTCATATGGGCTAGTGGCCTGCCCATCCATCCCATAACATTCCATCCCATCCCATAACATTTCATTCCATCCCATCTAATCATGTCGAGGCCCTCAGGTTTCATTTTTTAACGCAGGTTCAGCCTGCCAGAGCTGAATTATCAGCTTCCTTTTTTTCCAGGAATATTCAGCGATCCTCTACTGTGAAATGGCATTTTTTGCCAATTTTCATCCTGCTCCACAACCAATCTATGGGGCTGATCTCAACTCATCCAATCCCATCCCATCTCCCATCCCATCCCATCCCATCCCATCCCATCCCATCCCATCCCATCCCATCCCATCCCATCCCATGATATCCCATGGCAGGGATCTAAGAAGCAACAGGCTGAGTGGCACCATTCCTTCCTGCATTGGCCACCTCACCGCGCTCACCTACTTGTGCGCCCAATTTCCCTCCCCTCCACCCCCCCTCTCTCCATCCCTTCGTTCCGCCTGCCTCTTTCTGCCAAGCATCGGGGGTTTGAGAGGGTGGGTAGGATGAGGATCGGAATCAGAGGGAAGGAAAGGGAGGAAGAGGGAGGGAGAGGGAGGGAGAGGGAGGTAGAGGGAGGGAGATGGAGGGATAGGGAGGGAGAGGGAGGGAGAGGGAGGGAGATGGAGGAAGAGGGAGGGAGAGGGAGGGAGAGGAAGGGGGAGGGGGGGCGTTGGAGGGAGAGGGAGGGAGAGGGAGGGAGAGGGAGGGAGAGGGAGGGAGAGGGTGGGAGAGGGAGGGAGAGGGAGGGGGAGAGGGGGAGAGGGAGGGAAAGGGAGGGAGAGGGAGGGAGAGGGAGAGAGAGGGTGGGAGAGGGAGGGAGGGGGAGGGGGGGAGAGGGAGGGAGAGGGAGGGAGAGGGAAGGAGATGGAGGAAGATGGAGGGGGAGGAAGGGGGAGGGAGGGAGAGGGAAGGAGAGGGAGGGAGAGTGAGGGAGAGGGAGGGAGAGGGAGGGAGAGGGAGGGAGAGGGAGGGAGAGTTAGGGAGAGGGAGGGAGGGGAGACGAGGGCAAAAATAGGAGAATACGGAGGCACTTTCTGTTGCCTTCAATTCCGTCTGCTGCTGCCGGTGTGTGATTCTCAAGGCACACAACTTTCAGCAACTGCACTCAC